CCGTGTGCTAGTTCCATTTAGGTTAAAAAGGAAGAGAGCACCATGCCCTATAAGTCAGTCCAGATATTATTTTTATTTGCCACAACAAAGGGGTCCTCATAAACTGACCGCCATGGTTAAACAAAAATCAGGGCTTAGGATTTTTGTAGGGCCCTAGCAAGGGCGAGGCAACAGAGGCACTCGCCTCGGGCGCAGGTGAGTGGGGAAGGGGGGGCAGTGGGACTTCTTCTCGGATCCCTGCTGCTCTCCACTGCCCCCCCCCCCCCGTATGGCCAGAGGCAGCGTGGATCAGAGGAGAAGTGAAGCGCTAAAAACACATCCTGGAGGCAGAGTGCATGACATCACATGACGCCACGCGTGTGCAGCATTGGGTGAAGTCACGCGCCTGTTGGCGGGGGGCACATTTCTTTGTTCTCGCCTCGGGCGCAAAAAAGAGCTAACTACGGCTCTGGTTTGTTGTGTTGGAAACATCTGGAATGGACAACTATCGTCCAGGAATTTACTTTCCTCCAAAACCTTTGTTTGAGAAAACAGGGTAATTTATAGATTAGCATGCAATACTGATAATAGGTAATCACAGCCTGGTATACAAAGCTGAAGAACCAAAGATCCACTAAAAGAAGATATGATAATCGCTACAGTATTACAACAGTACATACATCTGTAATAAATATCATCACTGTGAAATGCAAACGTCAATACACATGAGCACTGAAAACAACAAAACAGTGCCGACTGGTCCAGTGACACAAAGTTGATCTTTGATTGGATACTATAGATTAGCGCACATCACTGATGTCTGTATTCCTGTAATGAAGAAAGACAGCAGAGTAGAAGGCAAGCTTCATATATGCCTGCCGGTTAGGAGCACTCACGTATATTTCAGAATGCCTTCCAGCTTGGAGGTCCATATAATGACGCTTTTATCAGCAGATCCGGAGGCAAACCTCTTACCTACAAATCACAAAGAAAAAGTAAGAAAAAAAACAATATGAATAGATAGATAGATAGATAGATAGATAGATAGATAGATAGATAGATAGATATTTTAAAAACCTAACTGGAGACTGCCATTAAAGTTACACATAATTTAATGTAATTGTGTCCCCAAACAAACATTACCAATCTAACTGCTAAAAAAAAAATGTTTGGTCACATGATCTCTACTAATTTTGAAGGGCTGACTGTAGGAGGCAGTTTCATGTTAAGCCCCCCAATCAGCAGCTCTGCCTCAGTTGTGTGACTATGTCTGTGCCTCTTGATCCCCAATATCAGAAAAGATCACATAACCAATTCTTTGGCACAGGTCACATGACTGGGTGCTGGCCATTGCATGATTCCCATTATTACATCGAACAGTATGTTTTTAAGCTCTCTCTCTCTAACCTTTATTAACAGCGTGTCAACTTTTATTATAGGTCCGTAAAGTGAAAGCTGTGAGATATATATCAAAGCGGAACCTTTACCCATATCTTAAAAATAACAGCAAACACACCTTTAGAAATGTTTAGTAATGACAATCTACAGACACATACTTCTAGATAATTGCCGGCTTTGTATTCTTTGCATTCCTTATTTCTCTTTTTTCCCCAGTTTACTCACGGTGGCCATGTTTACTAAGGGCAGATTACTAGCTCTCCTTTTACTTCCTGGATTTCTGGCACATGTGACTAGGACATGTGACCATGCACATCATCTCAGGGGAGGAAAATGCCTTTCCATGAGATCTCATGAGATTACAGATGAGATTTCCCAGCGATGCTCTGCTGATGACAAGGCAATCCCAGTGCGCATTGCTTTGCCAAACTGAAGTCATTTGCCCTTTCAAAGCAGGAAGTGAATGCTCTGCAAGTACTTCACAATCACCTGACATGTCTATGTTATTATTAATCATCATACATAGAGGGATGTATTTTTTACAATCTGATTTTTGAGTGTAAAGGTCCGCTTTAAAGTGTCACTAACCTCTCCTGGTTATTATAAAGCCTGCATCGAACCTACAGTAATACACCATCTGCACTTATTAATATGCCAATAAATAACACACACCTTTTTATGTGCTATAAAAGAAAAGACTTGTATTTGTGCGCTCCCCAGGCAGGCTCCTTTCCCCTCAAATCTGGTCTGTAGGGACGAGCAGTGCACATATACTGAGGTCATGCGCTCTACTCCCCCAAACTGCAAATGCCAACTGTACTTGCGCTTCTACTGTGCATCCCATCATGCCAAATGCTGGGAGCAGTGCAGTGTGGGCACAGATTTTAGCAATGGGCATTTTGCATAGCTTATACATGCCGGCACTGAATGTACTGGTACGTATTATTGTACTCCATCTTGGAAGCTAAGCACAGACGGCGGCTCTGTTCCCACATACAGTGAGGCCATGTCAAGCAAATTATAAATGGCTATAAAATTATCATATTGATATTTACCGTCTTTGGCATACGCCACACAATATACCATATCCTTATGGCCCTTTAGTGGCTGAAGTAAGGTTCCATCCGATGTGTCGTAGACCTGAAAATACGTCAGAAAATATCTTATATTACCCGCAGATCCATCCAATGTTGTCAGCATTATATACATGATCTGATGTTGGAGGTGACGGTCTAAATTCTAATACGTGTCATACGTACCCGTAGCAAAAATGTTTTTAAAAATACAGAAATTCAACGTATAATTTCATTTTTTTTCCATCTCTTTTGATTGAACTCAGACAGTTGTACAGAAGTATAAAGGTGCATAAAGGTTCACAGCTGCAGGGTAGACTCAAAGCCATGTAGTAGTCTGTGCTTATACAGGAAGCAGGATGGGAGAAAAATGTTCACAATTAGGTATCATTCACATGGACATGGAAGTAGAAGTGCTTTCCTGTTCAAGGGAGACTGAAGCGACTTCCCTCTAAGACACTGAACACAGGGAGTCACTCGTTTGGCACCCCCTCCATTCACAAAACACACTGGAGGGAAATTTATCAGAACTGGGGAAGACAAAATCTGGAGCAGCCATTGGTGCATGAAAACCAATCAGCTTCTCTCTTTCATTTTCAAATCTTAACAGAACAAACTGAAGAGAGAAGCTGATTGGTTGCCCCGGGCAACTGATCCAGATTTGATAAGTTCCCCTCATTGTATTCTTTTTTTTGATGTATACAAGGCGTTCAGTGACTGGATGAGGTGGAAAGGAGGAGCTGATTACATCATGTTCTATCCTCATCCAATCAGAAAACACCTTATGCACATTAAAAAACAATACAACGTGTTCTCTGAATGGGGGAAGTACCGAGCGAGTGACTCCCTGTGTTCAGTGTACCAGAGGGGAAGACGCTTCAGTCCTGCTGGAACAGGAAAGCACTTTCTACATGTATCATAGGCTACTATGTGACTTTGGCTGTGCATGTCCATGTGAATGACGCCTATCTGTGAACATGTATGTCCCATCCTGCTTCCTGTATAAGCACAGACTACTACATGACTTTGAGTCTCCCCTGCAGCTCCCCAGATGTGACATAATGATAATTACAGGTAACCAACCTTCCCAATGGCAATGTTAAAATCAGAT